TAAAAGCTAAAGCAGCATTGTACATTTTGTCACACAGAGGATGACGTCCCTAAGTGCTCCTCATTCAAGATGACCCAGAAATGAGGAAACCCCAAAGCCACAGATAACAAGAATCCTCTAAAAGCATTCCATTCCATTACGTCAGTTCCCAGAAAGAGTCAAGATTGTGTGTTCTTTAATCAAAGACCAAGTGTTCCTGGGTTACATCCAGTCCGATCCAGCCCATTCCTGTCCATTTCAGCCCATTTCAGCCCAGTCCAGTTCAGTCCAATCCAATCAATTCAAATTATGACTGGGTTGTAGTAACTGGAACCCTATGCATCACACTTTCTCTTTTAGGAACAGATTTTTTTTTGACAATTTTTTTTTTTTGAGATTTTTCTTTTCAAAACAAGGAAACATTTTCTTGGTGCTCAAGTGAAGCATGAAGATCCATCTCCTTCCTGTTGAGATTACTGAAGATCATGTTTCCCAGTTTAGGACGTTTGAGGATCTTGAGTTCTCTGAGTTTTGTAAAGTATTTTAAGAAATGCTATTTATGCCACACCCCAGGATCATATATGTATTTGAACTGAAACTAAATGTTTGAGAAATGACACATTCTTATATATTAGTATAGTGTTTTGAGATTTTAAATCCAGTGTAATCTATTTCTTTAATAGTTACGGATCATGTCCCACTCATTCTATAAGATTTTCAAGTGGACATGGATCAGTACTGAAAATGCAAATAATGGCTGTCTAAAAGAGAAACCAAGTTCTCTCACTTTAGAACTTCTGATAGACTTGCTGCAGGAAGATAAGGTTTGCATATACGTGGTGTGGAAGGTCTTGCGGCTTGCAATGAATTTCCACATTCCTCCTAAGCCCCTTTCTGCCCACCTTTCTAGTTTCTGTGCCCATCCTCCGAGAGAAAGCCACACATCCCCGCAGCCCCTGGAAACATGAAAGACTCCAGAGATGTATGGATAGTCAGCATTCATGCCGTGTATCTTAGACCCTCACATCTACAGAAGCAAGCGTTAGCCTGAAGCGTGTCTGTTTATGAGCACATTCCGGCAACCGCTGCGCTAATGGAATTGCCGAGACGCTCGCTCCTCAGAGTGCTTGGGCAACCGCTCTTTTGTTATTAGGAAGGCAAATGCCGTTTTTAAGATCAAAGTGGACACCTCCTGGAACTTACATTTATTACAAAAGGCTAAAGTGTCTGCATTCCCAGGCTTCAAAGGGACTTAACACAGAAAGACAGTCATATTCAATAGACCAGGGCAATTTCTGACAGGACAGACAACCGCCTAAGTGGTTGATAGGAATGAGTGGTAATCTTATTCTGAAACTTAGCAGTTCTGTCAGAGCCAGGGTTAAGCAAAGTGCTTGATACTGTGATGGCCACAGTCAGGGTCAGCCTGACAGAAAATTCCACTGTCAGTGCCCGCACTGAGAATACTTCTACAGTTTCGCGCTTTAGAGTGCCCTTTGGAGGTCGTTCGATCCCATTGTTTCTGAAAGCAGGGTCTCATTTTGCTGTCATGGTGGAAGCGATGTAAAAGGTCAATACACTGAGTCTTTATTGCACTATTTGGGATGCCATCAGAAGGATAATTCCAAGCCTTTCAGACATGGGGACCTGGATACTAGCAATTGTACTATGGAGAGTCTCCTGTCATCTGCCATCCAAGAAGTGGTCTGTGGTATTTGTGGCTCTCCTGTTTGCAACCCTGTGTGAGTTAGTTTTTAATGTCAATTTCATACAAGGTCATCTGGGAGGAAGGAATTGTTTAATGGCCCCGTAAGCCAGGGAATATGCTGACAGAAGCAGTCTGTCTCTATTTTAAATAATTTATTTACTTTTATTTTATATGCATAGGTGTTTTGCCTGCAAGTTTGCCTGCACGAGGGCATCGGACCCCCCTGGAACCAGAGTTACAGACAGCTATGAGCTGCGATGTGGGTGCTGGGAATTGAACCCGGGTCCTCTGGAAGATCAGCCAGTGCTCTTAACCACCTGAGCCATCTTTCCAGCCATGGAAGGAATCTTAATCATGAAAACATTTCTACATGATTAACATATTGGTATGTCTTTAGGGCATTTTCTTGATTAATAACTAATGCAAGACGGGCCAGCCCTTGTGGGTGGTGCCACCCCTGGACAGGTGGTCCTTCATGGTGTAAAAAACCAGGTTCAATCCGTGTGGAGCAAACCAGTAGGCAGATGTCCGAGAGTTTCTAACGCTTGATGAAACACCTTGGCCCAGAGCAAACAGGGGAGGGAAAGGTTTGTTTGGCTTACACTTCCACATCATTGTTGACCGTGGAAGGAAGTCAGGGCAGGAACTTAAACACAGCAGAAACCCGGAGGAAGCACCGAATGTAGAGATCTTGTAGGATCATTGCTTATTAGCTTGCTCCTCATGACTTGCTCTGCCTGGTTTCTTACGGAACCCAGGATGACTCACCCATTGTTGTAAAATGGTGTGAGAGAGACCCTGGGGGGCTAGGGGGCCACACGGTGAGAGGGTGAGAGACAGACACGCCATGCAGGCAGAACTTATGTGGGAGTTTTATTAAGATAAAGGAAATGGGGTAGAAGAGAGAAGGAGAAATACAGAGAGAAAGAAGAAGAGGAAGAAGAGGCAGGGACCAGTTTGCCTCCTTAGAAGAGCAGTGGGGAGAAGAGAGAAGGAATGGACAGAGCTTTTCTCTTAAAAGGACCTTTTGTACCTGCATACATACACAGTGACTTAGCAGCCATTGGATCCTGGGCTGGCCAGGGTACTGCCTGGGTTCATCCCACCAGGTGACAGGAGTCAGCAAAATGCCTGAATCCTTACACCCATGATGGTACCACTCACAATGAATGGATTGAGCCTTTCCATATCAGTCATTAACTAAGAAAATGCTCTACGGGCTTAAGTACAGCCTAACTTTAAAAAGGTTTTTTTTTTTTTCCTCTAAAATCAACTGGGGCTTCCTCCTCTCAGAAGTCTCTAGCTTGTATCAGTTTGACATAAAACTATCCAGCAGAGTAGCTCCATGGCACCTCCATGACCGAGAAACACTTCTTGTCTCCAGGTTCCTGCCTTGAGCCCTTGCCCCGAGTCACCTGCACGCTAGACTACAAGCTGGAAGATGAAATAAACGCCTTTCCTCTCCAGTGTCCTTTGGGTCATGAGATTTCATCCTAACAATAGAAACCCAACTAAGGCATAGCCTCTCCCTCCACTTTAAAAAATCCGTTTTTAACTTTTCATTTTTTTGTCTTTTCTATCTTTACTTATCAAACTAGGAAGTTGATAAATAAAAATTGTATGTGTTTGTGACTTTTGATATGCTTTGAAATGCATGTGTACACCTGAGAAAAGGTTTAAATCAAGCTTGTTAAGTTATGTGTCAACTCATCACTTACCTTTAAGAGCCTTTGACAAAGCTTTGCAATGACCACCCTCAGGGACATCTGAGAAGCCCTTCTCAGCTGGGTTTGCTTCTAATGTTTGTAAGAAAGTCCTTCAAATAGATCCCTATACATTTTTATAGCAGTTCTGAATATTCATGAACTTTGGTCAAAGCATATGGGAGAGCAATAAAGGCCCTTCATTATTTCTTTCCAAACACTTTCCAGTAATTTGGGAGGTTGAAATCCTAACTCCAGAAGCGCTGCATAGTTAATGAACGTGTTTCGTCTTACAAGTGATGGCTTTTCTCCTACTTTATCTAGTGACTGACTTCTCGAATCCCTTTCACTCGTTCAGGACTTCATCTTTGTAGAGACTTGAATTGGAGGAAACATTTTCCTGGGAATTGCTAAATGTTTATTAGAATTCAAATGGTTAGTGTCACCAAAGTTGCGTTAGTACTTGGTAACTTTCCTACTGCAAACTTTTATGGCTTCTATTATTGATGAAAAGACAGTGTTGATTTGAATGCATCTTAAATGGATTCCTACAGAGTGGGAAAAACTGTGACCACAGATATTTGTCACATACTAAAAGACATACAAGAGTTTTAAAATGATAAAAATTTTAGTGCTCAAGGGGTATAGACTGGAATAGCTGTAATACACACTGGGCAACCGCTGTGCTGACTACTGGGACCATTTCATTGCTCGCCTCTAATAGTACTAGTAGCTGTCCAACTAAGCCTTCCTGCATCTTTTTCTTTTTTTTTTATTTTTAGGTTTTTCGAGACAGGGTTTCTCTGTGGCTTTGGAGCCTATCCTGGACTAGCTCTTGTAGACCAGGCTGGCCTCGAACTCACAGTGATCCACCTGCCTCTGCCTCCCAAGTGCTGTGCTTAAAGGCCCGCGCCACCACCGCCCAGCTATCTTTTTCTTGAAATGTACAATTCTCATGTCCGTAATTAGCATCACCTGGCTTCAGGGTCGCAGAAATCAGTCGATGGGTTATTGTAAGTTCATCTCTTTACATGTTCATAAATTAGGAGGAAGCTGATTGATTATTTGTTTTTTTCAATGGATTTATCCAATTTTAAGCTGTGGAAATATGTACTTGGGAGGGAGGACTGGCTTTCATCGAAAGTGAACAATTTCAAACAGGGTATAGATATAGCGCCAGCTCTGGTTCCTACTTTGCATTAATCCTCAATAAAAAAAAAAAGAACAAACTGTCAATTTGAACAATCTTTTAGGGGAAGTAGAAAGCATAAAGATCCTGAAAATCAGAAGAAAATATCTTAAAGTGGAGCATACAGTCTCTTTGTAGTTTTCTTTTAAGGATATATGTTTCTGGTTCTTTTCATCAACACATACTTTCCTTTACGCTTAGCAACCTTTAAGGTGGTGATCCCTGTATTTAGCATAGCATGTAATTTTAATCTACTATAGCTTACAGGTCTGACCTTTCTATGGTGTTTTGCAAATTGTTACCACGTGTTTTATTACATTGCATCAAGATAATTGTCCTCATGGGTCCTGAGTTTGATACACTAGAAACAACACCTGCCATCAGCCCTCTCTCCCTTCCCCCTCCCTCAGCTGCTACTCACTCAAAAGGGTCGCTGGGATCAGCCCTCTGGAGCTCTGGAGGGATGGGGATTCTTTTGTAGTACATCTCCCAGTCGAAGGCTCCTCGCATGGCGTCCCCAGCTTGTGCCTCATACCCAAAGTGATTGTGGTCGATGACATCGATCAAGGGACACACGATGGTTTTGTGGTTTAGTGCAATTTGGTCTGAAAAATGAAAGCACAAGATAGGAAATGACAGCCTGCCTAGGTCATCTATCATTTTCCAGCGAGGAGAAGCCCACAGCTCTTTTTAATGCATAACACTTGCAGCCTTGGCGTCTCCTTGTCGTCATTAGAGCCCTTTGCAGGAATCTCTGAACGCCGGGCTTAACATGATGGGACAGTGATTAGGTACAATTAGAGTTGTTATATTTCCGTTTGAGAAAGTTATGTCCCAGAGAGACTTGCAGAAGTCCATTTAGCTCGACTCTGTCACATTTTTGCTCTGACCTGTCCCCAATCTGTCATTTTAACGTGCCTCCAACATGCACAGAGTATAAACAGTACTCGTGTTCCTCCAAGCATACAGCTAAAGCCTGCTGAGAAAATACTGGCCTGCTTTCTGAAGGTTCCAAAATGTAAATATTTAACTTCATGGTTTTTATAGCAACTAATCATAAAACAGTCATGATGGCCATTCCCCCATAATGCCAACCAATCATATATAAAATTCTTTGCTGTCAACTATGACAGAGAATTGGTTGAGCTGCTGTTTTTTGAGATTAACTCTATTTATCAGTACCGTACATATTTTATCTTTCTTCCACGCAATTAAAAGACATCATTAGATGACACACTACTATTGCTATGATACTGTTGGTAAACCCACGAGTGATTCCAAAATGATTGATACTCATTTTCTTTCCAATATTCCCATTATCCATGACAAGTGACTGTTTGATGGGGAATCTGCGAGTGTCCCCTCTGTGCTATGATTACCATTAGTGAATAAAGAAACTGCTTTGGGCCTGTAGCAGGGCAGAACTTAGTTAGGCAAAAAAAAAAAAAAAAAAAAAAGCAAAAAATCAAGATGAATGCTGGGAGAAAGGAGGCAGAATCAGGGAGAAGCCATGTAGCCCTACTGGAGTCAGATGGAACTTTACCCGGTAAGCCACAGCCATGCGGCAATACACAGATTAATAGATATGGGTTACATTAAGACACAAGAGTTAGCCAATAAGAAGCTAGAGCTAATGGGTGAAGCAGTGATTTAATTGATACAGTTTCTGTGTGGTTATTTTGTGGTTGAGCAGTCGGGAAACAAACAAGCGGTCTTCCTTCTCCCTACAACTGTTGTCATCCTGTTCATATGCAGCCACACGGAGCTCAGAGGAGTCAGACAACTTGTCAAAGGGCTACTCAGCTTTGGTAAACAATAACCAGGACACAGCCCCTGCTTAAATCTCCAGTTCCAAAACCTGCCTTTCTAGGCTGCCAGGGTGCCTCGCCTAGCATTCTTTCCAGTTCTGGCAGTCTTGCTTTTCTATCCAAATATTTTCATTGTGATAGAGCTAACAGGCACTGCAGGAAGCTGGCATTTGTTTATTTTGGTGCCTGCAGAATAACAATATGTAAAGTATCTTTTTCCCCCCTCTCAAGACCATGGGTTTCATCAATTTATTACAGCACCTCTCTCTGACAGGCAGGATGTTTAAGTATGAGCACCTGCTCTCTCGTTATTTGGAAGACCTTTGGGTGTAGCATGTGACATTTAACAAAGGATATCATTTAGAAATATGATGGGAGTTGGTTGTTTCCGTGTAGTTTTTTTTTTTCTCTCTCAGAGGCCCTGAAGCTAATATAACGTGCGTGAGAGATCAGCATTTTACAGTAAGGAAACCGCCCATGTGCTTTGGAAGTTTCTGCTCAGCACAGAGCGGGAAGCACAAGGTTTTCGTGGCTATCATAACAGGTGACATTTTTATCACACCGATAAAACAGAGTGTGGAGAGAAGCACAGCTACCATAGGGCATTTCCTTTGCAAGTACACATGCTCATTCATTCATTCATTCATTCATGTTACAAAAATTATTTACTGTATTTACTGAGTAAAAAGTATGAGTCAATCATTTTTCTAGGTTCTTAAGCTACTGAAGAGAATAATAGCACAAATACCACCACATACAGGAATGGGGCAAAAAGTCATAAAATGTAATAAATAACTAATTCTATGGTGTTTTACAAGAAAAAGAAGACAGAAAGGACAGTGTTAAGAGGTACAGAATGCTGGAGGATGGAAAAGGAGACAATTTTAGACACTACCACAACCCCAGGGAGCCTCCGAGAGCCTGGGGATTATATTTCTCTTATTGCCAGCTAGTTAGCATGTGCACTATTTCAAGGTAACCACCACCAAGGGCTCTCTAAGCATCCATTTTTCACCAAGGCAAGCCTTATTGTGGGTTTTAGTTTTATCTAAGTGGCATTTTCCCCAGAGGATGGCGGAGACCGTCAGCGTAAGGTTGGAAACATTTCGTCGATCACCTCTGCAGCTTTTAGCGTTATGGTTTCAGTGACTTTCTTCCATCAAATTCAGAACCAGCTTGATTTACAAGTTCCTTGACCAACAAGGAGTCCCAAGGTGATCCAAAGAGAATAAGTCTGTTAAATTAACTGTCAACGTTCCCTTCAAATTTCCTCTCAGCTCTCATCCAGCTGTACTGGCTTGGGGTGAAAGCCGCATGACTAATTTTTCATCCAAGGCTGGTGCCTACATTTCAATTTCCAGGGATCAAACAAACAGACTCAATAGGAAATTGAAATTCAGGTATAATCCCCAAGGTGAAAAATGAACCAAGAAGCAGCGATGTGGCTCCGCCTGTTTCTTCATTTTGGATGATGTATCAAAATACTGATAGAAGAAAATAAAAGGAGATAGCATCCCGAGCTTGAATCGTTTCTTATCCACCAGGCCCACAGGAAATGAAATGTTTTAATGAGAAAGATTGGGCTGTGGCTGTGTCTTACGCTCTTTCCCCTATCCCTGCCCTTCCCTGTGATTCATAGCGAATGATCAGAGGACTTGAGCATTGGCATTTAGGGATTGCTTTGGTTCATACAGGAGTCCAGCCTTTGGTTGGCATGCTAGAGTATTCAACAGCATACAGGCCGAATTCAGTTTTTAGGAACTCTTGCCATTGCTAATGAGATTCTAAATGTCTTTGTCTTTGGACAGAGCACACTTAATTAAAGGCTCAGGGGAGTCTCCGACTGGTGTGGTTCTGGGATCCTGTTGATTGAGAAGGCTATGCTGGCCCCTGCATGGGGGCATGTGAACCCAATGATTTGGGAGAGGGTGTTAGTTGCTGGATGCTGTGCTTTACATCCTATATGGTTGTCACTGAGTCTCCTGTCTTTTTTTTTTTTCTGCTGTAGCTTGGCTGGTTGAAGCTGAATTCCCACGTAATAGTCACTACCAGAGCCCCCTTTCTGAGGTGGTGGCAGTGAGGGTGCCTGACACTGGCTTTATTTATAAATCAGGGATGCAGTTACTCCCTAGGTCCAAACGAGAAACAGAAGGAAAGAGAACGTGAGCAAAGAAGGCAAGGCCAGAGGGACCATTCACCCGTTGATGGATGGAGATTGAGACAGAGACCCACATTGGAGCACTGGACTGAGCCCCCAACGTCCAAATGAGGAGCAGAAGGAGGGAGAACATGAACAAGAAAGGCAGGAGCGTGAGGAGTGCGTTCACCCACTGATACAAGGGGACTGATCTAATGAGAGTTTACCACGGCCAGTTGGACTGGGACTGAACGAGCACGCGATCCAACCAGATTCTCTGAATGTGGCTGGCACGGGGTCTTTCTGAAAAGCCATTGACAATGACACTGGGTTTTGCTTCCACTGCATATACTGGATTTTTGGGATCCAGTCTGTTTGGATGCTCACCTTCCTGGACCTGGAGCGGGGGGAACTTGAACTTCCCACAGGGCAGGAAACCCTGACTGCTCTTAGGGATGGAGAGGGAGGAGGAGAAGGAGTGGGGGGAGTGGGAGGGTGTTGGGAGGAGGGGCGGAAATGGAAACTTTTATAAATTAATAAACTTTTATAAATTAAAATAAATAAATAAATAAATGGTATGGGACACACACACACACACAAATAAAAGTTCTTTGGAGAAATCTTAAGAGAACAAGAAAGGAGGGCAATTTATATATGTACTAAGAATTTTCTAGAAGGAATTTCTTTAGGTACGCAATTTATTTCCTAGGTGCATTGGGGGTTTTCTACCTGAATTCCTTGTAAACTAACAAGATAACAATACTGAGGCTTGAAATCCATCCCAGTTGGAGTTTCTATCCAGAATGATGTCCAGTTTGTTTATTTTGCTAGTGGTTCAGTGCGCTATGACACGGCATGGTTTGCTGCCTTCACTCTGATAGCTGTAACTGATCAATTAAGACTCATCACCAGGACAGCAGATCAGTTTGAGTGGCTCTGTGTGAATTCAGAGGATTATACATTGAAGGATGTAGGATAGCACCAGGAAGAAAAGCAAAAAGACAGTGGCACTCCACATCTTAAAAAATGGCAAATCACTTAGATTCTTATATCCTGGAGCAGAATAATTTTCCTCCTTTCTTAACCATCTTGTGATAACTGTTATAACTGTGTATATGCGCATGGGTAAGTGTCTTTTGATCTTATTCTAATTGTAGAATGACTGAAAAATAGTTTGAGGCTATATATTTTTTTTTAACTTTAGTGTTTACCCAATAAATGCAACTGCAATGGAAGAGGCATAACATAAAAGAAACCTTTCTAACCTTAAGTTAGATTGCTGCTGGTCCTATCTGAAATGCTATTTAATGCAGTTATACCTATTTGTCATCCACAGTGATTAAGATACAACTCAAACTCAAGCCTTTGCTAAATGCAATATTTATGGAAGAAACCTCACACTCTGTTATCAGGGCCCAGTTGCCAGCTTCCCTGGTCCAGCGTGCCACTTGGTGAGAATGATGGTGACATAGTATACTCACTGAGGAGTGGGGGCAGCCAGTTCACATTGACCTCACAGTGGGAGTCCAGGAAGGTCAGCACCTCGCCTCTGGCCACAGAAGCTCCCAGGAGTCGGGTCCGGATGAGTCCTTCCCTTTTCTTGGTGCGAACAATTCTCACTTTGGAAAACCGAGCCATGTAATCTTCTAACTTATCCTTCAAGTGTTCTAGGAGGGAAAGAAAACACGCAGGAAGAAGGCCAAGCGTTAGTCACAGCGGACTCCTCGCTGTCGCTGTGCATCGAGCATATGTAAGTGGCGAACCCAAGTGGAACAATTTCGCAGTCTGTGTTTCTGCTCCCTTCATCTGGAGGAAGGTACTGATAAGATTTTATGCTTAGGGTTTCTGTATTTTTATTTCCTCCAAAGCTTCATAAACCACAAACGTTGCCCTTTGAATTCCGTGGACAGCGGTGGTACACCAGAGCTCAGTCATGCAGCTAATGTTGGCCAGTGGCCACCATGTTAATCCTGACCAGCTCATGCCAAGATGGGCATCGGCCTTCTAGTTCCTGCTGTGCGAAGTCAAATGAACATCCTGGCATATGGGCTCTTCCCGACAAGAGCGCTTTTTACAGCGAAGTTTTGCCTGGTATTTTGTGTGCTGATAATAGTGCATATTAAACAAGAAGGGGAAGAAAATCTGTCAAATCAGTAAGAACCACACAGCTTCCCACTCTGCAAGGTAGCAGAATATTGAGAAAGAAGTCCAGTTCTGGCTTCTAATCTGAACTAGAAATGTGACCCACTTGGTATTGAAATAGATGACAAAATGAAACCCTGTACTGTCATCTCGAATGCTGCTGTCTAAGTTTCGGAAATCATTTGCACTCCTTAAAACTGTCAATGTTTCTTTGCTAATTAAAAGCAAAAACTGTGGGAACAAAATGAATTAAAAAGCCGCGATTTACATGATAAGGTATTTTCTATTGACTTAAAATTGTATCAGTCTTTCAGTTCCTCTAAAGCAAAATGATGTATTTGGTGACTTTTTGTATGACATGGACTTAGATATTTTTATTCTCTGATGCTACCAGCACATGTGAACTTGACAAAAGCTAAAGTCATCTGAGAGGAGGGAGCCTCAATTAAAATACCTCCCTATGACTGAACTGTAGGCAAGCCGGCAGCACACTTAAATAGAGATTGATGGGGGAGGGCCCAGCCCATTGTGAGTGGTGCCACCTCTGGGCCAGTGGTCCTGGGTTCTATAAGAAAGCAGGCTGAGCAAGCCACGAGGAGCAAGCCAGTAAGCATCACCCGTCCATGTCCTCTACATCAGCTTCTGTCTCTAGGTTCCTGCCCTGCCTGAGTTCCTGTCTTCACTGCTTTTGATGATGATCTGTTATATGAAACTGTGAGTGAGATAAACCCTTTCCTCCACAAGCTGCTTTTGGCCACCATGTTTCCTCACAGCAATAGAAACCCTAGCTAAGACAGATAGTCTGAGGGTTTTCCTGGGATTTCTGATGTCTGTAGCTCAATAGTCGCCAATCTCATGGTTTAGAATGCAGTATGCTATATTTGTTTTGTTTTTAACTTTCCTTCTTTTTCTGTGTGTCTATAACCAGAGTAAATATTCCAGAGACAGAAACAACATGAAAAGCCAATCCAGTAATAGTGACAGGCAAAGAAAATTTCCTGGAAAAAGGTCCAGAAAAGGAATTCAGAAGATTGATCATAGTATGTTCAAGCAACTCAAAAAAGGCATGCACATATTCCAGAGATCAAAACAGAGAGATGAATGAGAAAGTTAATACAAGATATGAAAATAGAACCCAGTAAAGTGATAGACCTGCTGATGAAAACCAAGCTAAAATGATGTTGAAAATGAAAAGATCCATCAGCTGATAAAAGCCTCACTGGAAAGTTCCCTGTGTTTATGGATTGGTGGGATGAATAATTCCCAAATGATTCTGCACAGAATTTGAAAAACAAAACAAAGGTCTCCAAATTTATATGGAAACACAGAAGATCAGGGTGGCTAAAACAGTCCTGAACCAAGCAAAACAAAGCAAAAATGGTCCCATTGTGATGTAGGTGGGCCTTCTGTTATGTGTTATTTTCATTGGTTAATAAATGGACTGCCTTGGCCCTTTGATAGGACAGAAAATTAGGTAGGCGGAGTAAACAGAACAGAATGCTGGGAAGAGGGCAATGAGGCAGATGCCATGGAGCCAGCTACCAGGTCAGACATGCTGAATCTTTTCTGGTAAGCCACCAACTCGTGGTGCTACACAGATTATTAGAAATGGGTTAATCAAGATGTGAGAGTTAACCAGTAACTAACTCTCTAGAGATAATGGGTCAGGCAGTGTTTAAATGAATACAATTTGTGTGTTGTTATTTCTGGGGCTAAGCTAGCCATGCAGGAGCTGGGTGGGATGAAAAGCAGGCCTGCCTGCAGCTCCTCACTACACCAGTGGGTAGTTCAAGACCCATGGCTACAGATATGGATCTGGCTCAATTTACTGGGTCACAGAACTAAATTAAAAGTTATGAAGGTAGAAAAGGAACTTGAAGAGATGAGAAGTTGATAGGGGTGGGAGGGAGGAGAAAGAGGGCAGAAGGGTGTGAGTAACCAGAATACATTATATATAGGTATCTACAAAATTTGCATATAAAATAATAATAATAATAATAATGGAACTGCTTGTGTAGGAATCCAGCTGTGCATACCTGCATCACTCCCATGTAACTTGGGGGGATGGGAGGCTTGAGATAGTCTTTCTGTTCCTTACATTGCTAGTTACATGTAATGAAATCCATTGCCTCAGGCCCTGGAGTATCACGCCCTTCGCCTGTATCCACTAAACAGTGGGAAGATAACTCATGAATCTGCAAATCTCAGGTCCTTTAAAGTTCTCTGCTTAGAGTCATCAAGGCTGTTCAACTACAGACTGCTGAACACTGTACCTGGCAGTCCTGAAGCACGTGGAATCTGACCAACCACAGAGAACTTTGCAGGAAGCAAATGTTTAATTTCCCGTAGTCGACTAATTCATACCAGGTATAACCTGGCTTTTCTTTTACTAGCCCCATGTCTGTTTCTATGGAAGCAAGCTGTCATATAGCCCAGGCTGGCCCTGACTTCCATCCATGATGGACCATAAACTATAATGTGAAAGTTTTCTTCCATAGGTTCTTTTTGACTATGACATTATATCGCAGCAATAGAAGCCTAACTAAGACAGAGAACACACTATTACAATGGGGTTTGCAAAAGGGAATGAAGTAGAATATCATCTTATACAAAAACAGTTCGGCATATTGAGAAGAGAGTAAACTGATTTTATAAAATACACAGCATGTCTATAATGTGCATTTATTTCAGTTCATTTGTTACAAATCTGACTTGAGTATTCATTACTTACTCCAGTTATTGATGTGGTACTGCTCACAGCACATCACGGCAACATTTAAGCACTATTTTCCTTTCTCACCAAACATTCTCAAGAGCTATCCAAAACTGAGTTTTGTCTGCGACTACAAATATTTCTCCTATAATTCACACTTGCATTTATAATGTTCCCCAAGCTTTTATATGAAAGTAAAGAAACTTTAGCATAATTTATAGCTTAGAATTGTTCTATTTAAATTAACCTGCAGTGTGAACTTTTCATTTCCTTGAGATAGTGTATTTGTGTAATTTATTTGGGTGTTGTAATTGTTACCTCAAAAAAGGGAACAGCTGTAAGTTGTGAAAATGGGTAAGCTACAGAAAATTTTTCCATGAAGTACTGTCTTTAGGTATTACAAGTTTGAGTATGATTCGTGCATCTTCATGAAATAAAAATACCTTCTTTTTTAACAACTTGGTTCTTTTTGCAACATTTGAAACACTCTCCGTATTGCAATAGCATAGGCAAATAGTTTACAGATGTCCTTTGTAGTTCAGTTCCAGTTTCCAAATTCCAATATCTTAAAATGAGCAGGACAAAGTCAGGGGTTTACTTTCATATTATTTGACATTGAAAAACTGAAGAATTAGGCCAAATATATAAGTACTAGAAAGCATCTTTAAATTTGTTTTAAATTATTTTGTGTTTGGGTGTTTTGTCTGGTTTGGGGTGCGTGTGTCTGTGTACCATATGAATGCAGTACTTGCAGAGGCCAGAAGAGGGCATCAGATTCCTTGGGTTGTGAGCTACCTGTGCCTGCAAAGGATTAAACCTGGGTCCCGGGAAGAGCAGTCATTTTCTTAACAGCGGGGCCATCAGTCCACCTCAGACTAGAAAACATTTCAATCGTACAAAACTATAACACACTGCACAGTTGTTAAAAAGGTTTTAGCTATTTATGTGTGTGTATGCTTCTGTTTTGTGTGTGTTTGCGCGAGTGCCTGCACACTTGGGTGTCTGGGTACCTATGGAGGACAAAAGGGAGTATCAGAGCCTTGAGCTGGAGATGCAATGTTTGCGAGTCACCTGACTTATGTGCTCAGACCAGAACTCCAAGCCCATGATTGAGCAGTGAGTGCTCGTAACCATTGAGAACTCTGTCCACCCTAATGTCGTCTTTCAGTTTAAAAGAAAAAGAAACCCGGTGCAGTATGACATCTGAGTCACCAGTCTTGGTGTGTAAGGACAGATACATATTCCTATGCACGGCCTTTTAGTTTCTCCTATTCTAGTTAAAATTAGGAGCACACACAGCCAAGCTTACCGGTTTAATAATTTCCAGGGCAGTGTCCACATTTTTGTGGAATTAATATTTGGAAGTATTTTTTCCTATCTAACTTTCCTGTATAACAGTAACTGACTATGTATCTCTTCTCCCCATCCTTAGGAAACCACTATTTTATTTTCTGTTTTATATGTTTGACTACTGTAGATGGCTCATAAATAGAGTCATAAGGTACTTGCTTTTTGATGAGTGTCTTGTTTAATTTAGTATAATTTCCTCAGTGTCCACCCATAAGAAGTATGTGTGTTATAATTCCCCTCTTTCTCTATAACATGAGAAGCATAATATTTAACAAATATATAATGTATAGTATAATATTTAATATATTTTATGCCATATATACTATATATAGTATATATCTGATTTATATTAAATCCTATGTTAGGCATTAAGAACCCAGGGCATTCTGAATGCCATGTAAGTGCTCCACTCTATTCCCAGAATCTCCTTATTTTACTACTCTTTACAAGAATAAGTGCTAT